GGCTGCCGTCCACCCAGAATCCCGCTGAGTACGTTTAACAGGAACCACCCCACCCCACCCCTGCATTAGGTTGTGCTCAGTATCTGGCTACAGCCCATCCCCATTGTCCTGCAGGTGACGGACCCTCTGCCCCGCCTTCAGCAAGAGTTCTGTTGGGTCAGTGTGGCAAGAATATTCTCACCCTGCATGTGTGGTTTCAGAAATTTTCTACCCACCACGCCCATCTTCCGACCCATCCCTCTGTGAAAATCGCTGCTCGCTCTGGCTGTGTTCAGAGTGAGTCCCGCTCTGAGCTGAGGTTTCTCGTCCCCTACTGCAAGAGTTCTCAGGGAAGATCTGTGTTCACACTCTGATGCAGGCTCAGCTCGGGTTTCTTTAGTAGAGGAAGGCCTGCAATGTTGCTGCCCTGAACTTGGGCCCTGAGTGTAGGCGATGAGCCAGCGAGAAATTTAAGAAGGAGCTCCCGGGCATGAGAGGAGGGGAGGGCAGGGACGAGCGGGCACCATCCCTGGTGAGCAGAAGTCATGCAGTGTCGGGGAGATTCAGGACAGCCCAGCCCGGGAGAGAGCCAAGGAGGCTCGCTGCAAACACACATTCTCCAGCCCACAGCAGAGGCTGCTAGCCCCAGAGGCTGGGGCCTGCACAGACTTGGGTGGCCTGCAGAGAGGCAGGCCACAAAATAGGAAGAACTGATGGAGTACGCATACATCACGCACGGCACAAAGACCCTGGAGTATGCGTCCAGGCAGAGAGGAACAACCCACCGTGAAAAGACAAAGCAGAGCTGCTGTGGTGTACACCCGGGCTCAGTGTCTGTTATCTGAAGTGCTCCAGGCCACGTGCTTTGGATTTCAGAGCTGCTTGCATTTTGGACAATGTGCATACCCTTTACCAGCTGAGCTCCCCTAATCCTTAAATCCAATACCTAAAATGCTCTGAGCTCTTAAAGTTTAAATGTCAGATTTGGGATTTTCAGATTCAGGATGTTCAACTTGTAAAAACTGTCCAGCTTCGATATAAAAACTACTGGACTCAAACTAAGAAAATGTCACCCATACTGAGGAAGAAAAAGTAGTCAACATCCACCAGCTCGGGCTGGGCAAGGTTTGGGGCTGAATGCATGAAGATTTCCAGACAACTATTAGATGCAGATTGACGGAAGTAGAGGAAAATATGACAGTGACAACAGAGAATCTCAAAGGTGAGGTAGGAACTGTGAAAGTTCATTCTAGATTTGACAATTATCTAAATGAAAATAAAATCACTAGAGGGCTCAGCAGCAGACTTGGAGGACGGAGAGTGGACAGTGAGTAGGAAACTTGATCACCAGGAGAGGCACAGCTGAGGGCGGGGCAGGGGCACACAGGGAGGCGCAGGGAGCCCAGTCTGCAGGTCTGCGAGCCGCTTAAAGGGTGCCGGGGCAGGAAGATGTTTGAAAAGCAATTGCTGAAAGCTTCACAGATTTGATGAAAGACCCCTGCTGCCTGGCAGATGTGTCCAAACTGCCTCCCGGGGGCTGCTCGCCCTCTTTTTCTTTTCTCAAGTGTCCTAGAGGATTTCTAAAGGAAGCTTCATTACACAGGTGAGCCATATTGCACATTTTAGACAATTCCTCTTCAGTCCGTGCGCTGTGAAAAGCCGGACATGCGGCAGGTTTGAGGAGCTCCTCAGCTCTCCAATGGGAAAAACCTAGTGATCTCCCTTTGTCTCAAAACAAGAGACAAAGAAAATGCAAGAAAAATTTGAGAACAGCTGAAGAAAGCGAGTGACTCCTCGCATCGAGGGAACTACCTGCCTTCTCCCTCTGAGCAGAGGCAGCCCGACGCCAGGAGCTGCAGGCCGGAGCGCTGGAAGTCAGCGGTCATCAGGAAGCAGAAACAGGGCGACTCACTGTGCAGGCCTGACCTATAGGAAGCACAGAGGAGCTCTTTCCCAGGGAAGGAAGACAGGTGCATGGGCAATACAGGGGTGGTGAGTGTGTGGGGGATGGTAAGGCTTTGCTCCTTAACTTACTTAGTGAACGTCAGGTTGGCTGAAGTACCAGGTATAACGTATTGTTGAGTTCATAACATATGTAAGTGTAATATGCCTGATGACAGCAGAAGATTAAAGGAGACAGGAAAGGGGATCCCACCTCAGCAGACAGGAAATGGGATCTCACTCCAGCAGACAAGAAACAGAATCCCACTCCAGCAGACAGGAAATAGAATCCCACTCCAGCAGACAGGAAATGGAATCCCACTGCAGCACATTTACTATATACCTGTATTACAGGAGTGAAGTCCGTAGTAACCTGGAGGAGAGTGAGGACATTGGAGATGCAGATTGCTGCTGTTTGGGCCTTCATGTCCCCAGCAGTCCATGTGCTAAGGGCTCGCTGCCTGGGGTGAGGCCCTGGGAGACAGAGGAGCCTTCAGGAGGTGTAGCCCAGCAGAGAGACGGGAGGTCAGAGGTGCATGCCCTTGGAGGGGTTTACAGGTCAATGGCCCTTCCTTCTCTTTCTTGCTGACTGGTTGTGAGGTGTGTGGTTCTGCGGTACGAGGTGCTTTGCTGTGATATGCCACTGCCACAGACCAGCTGATCCTGGCCTGAGACCTCCCCAACTATGAGACAAAATAAACCTTTTCTTGATAAGTTGATGACTAACACACGTAGTGTAATCTTAAGCATAACCACCATAAGTGAATAAGCAAGCAAAACACAGCTAGAAATAGAATAACTTCTAATCATACACCTGTGTTATATTTATTTAACATTTGGTTAATGCTAGAGAAAAGATTAAAAGGGAGCAGATGCTCTGTGCCATTACTGAAGCATTTTGTAAATACCAAACTGCTTTAACATAAACACTTTATGTTAAAAGAGGAGCCAAGCAACAGAAAATATCTAGAAAGAAAATAAAATGACAGCAGTAAATCCAGCCACATTCAAAATGCACATGGACTAAATATTCTGACTACAAGATGGAAACTTTCAGAATGGATCAAAAGGAAGACCCAATGATGTACTATCTTCCAGAGATACATTTTATATTTAAACATATAAGTAAGTTCAAAGAAAAGTTACAGTGGCACCTCGGTTCAAGAATTTCATTCTTGCCATAATTCTGTTCCCAAACTGAATTGGATAAGAACTGAATCAAATTCAGTGATTAGGTTCAATGTCAACCTTATGGAGAAATTTGATTCAGTCCTCCTCCAATTTATTTTGCAACCAGAATCATGGAAAGAATTAAGTTTGTGAACTGAGTTACCACTGCAAATCATAGCAATGGTAACCATAAGAGAGGTGGGGTGGTGATGTTAATAACGAAGAAAACTGAATTTGAGAAAAGGAATACTACTAGCACCAAAGAGGAACACCTCATGATGATAAAAAAGCCAATACATCAAGAAGACATGATAGAGCAGGGATGTCGCTCAGAGACAGAGTGCTGGTCTAGCATGCACAAAGCCTTGGGTTCAATCTCTCACCACCGATGAAGAAGCAAAAGAAGGAGAAAGAGAAGGAGGAGAAAAAGAAGGGAGGGGGAGGGGAAGATGGAGAAAAGAAGAAGAAGAGGAGAGGAAGAGGAGGACATATCAATAACAAGTGAGTATGCACCTGAAAACAAAGTCTGAAATTATATAAAACAAAATCTAACTGAATTAAAGTAAAGCAATTCAACATTTATAGTTAGAGACGCAACACTCCTCTCTCAGTAATTGATAGAACAGTTAAATAAAAAAATCAGTAAAGGTAAAGAAAGCTTGGCACTGTAAACTAGATTGATCTAACAAGTATGTATGTAATCATTCACTGAGCAACGCAGGACACACACCCCTCCACAAACACACACAGCACACTCTACAGGGCAGACTGCTAGGCCAGAACAGTTTCAATGCATTCCAAAGGACTAAAATCACACAAAGGATGTCCTCCAACAAAAAGATAATTAAGATAGAAAACAATAATAAAATCTCACTAAACTAACAATGGAAATGAACTCTCTTAATCTTTCCCTAAATATTTGGAAATTAAACAACGTAATTTTAAATAATCCTTGAGCCAGGAATAAATGTCAGGGTCATTAGAAATTTTCTTGAAAACAGAGAAGGAAAAATTTCCCAATTCATTATCCTAATATTACTTATACCAAAGCTAGGCAAAAATATGGAAAAGAAAGGCAAGTAGAGTCTGTTCTTCAAGGATAGAGATGCAAATGTCTTTTACCTATTTAGCAAGCTGAAGCCAGCAGCACGTGGAAGGAGTTATATACTATGCCAAAGTGGAGTCTATGCTAGGAATGCAAGATTGGTTTAACATCTGAAAATCCCTTGCTGTAAAACACCACACTTCAGAATAAAGGAAAACAACACACATGATGATTCAAATCAATGCAGAACACAGTGGGGAGAAATCCAACATGTATTCATGACCAAAGCTCTCACTAAATCAGCATAAAAGGCAATCACCTCAAACTAATAAAGAACATCTCTAAAAAGCCATAGCTAACATTCCACTTAATGGTGAAAGACAGATTAGCTCCCTAAGATAGATGACAAGAGAAAGGTGCCCACTCTTATCATTTCAACACTGTACTAGGGCAGCCAGGCAAGAAAAACAAATTAAAAGGTGTCTAGATGGGCAAGGAAAAGGAAAACTATCTCTATTTCCAGATGATGTGACTGCACATATAGAACTGTTAAAGCAAAGAACCTGGACCTATTAAACAAGTTCAGCGTTATCACAGGATGCAAGATCTTATACAAAAATTAATTGTATCTGTATACACTAGCAATTAGCAACGCAACAACGCAGTTCAGAAAGCCATTCCATTTACAACAGCATCAAAAAGAATGAGACATTTACGAATAACATTTTAAAAGGGTAACACCTATACAATGAAAACCATGAAATGTTGTTGAATAGAATTAAAGAAAAAATAAATGGAAGGATGTCATGCACTAATAGATTGGATATTTTAACATGGTGAGATGGTTTTATGGTTTGAATCTTACCTGTGCTCCAAAGACTACTTGTCAAGGCTTGCCTGTCAGTTGGGAACACTGTTGGAAGATGGCGGAACCTGTAGTGGGTGTGGCTTAGTGGGAGGAAGTTATGTCGCTGGGGGCGTGTCTTTGAAAGGGATTCTGGGATGCTCTTTGAGGTGAGCAGTTTGTCCAATCACCACTCCTTGCCCTGATGGGCTATCTCCCTACTGGTTGAAAAGCAATGGAGATAGCGGGCTGCAACCTCTGAAACTATGAGTCAAAGTAAACTTTTCCTTCTTCTAAGTTGCTTGCCTCAGGTACTTTGTCACTGTGAAAAGAAAGTACTAGTGCAGGTGGTAATACCCCCAAATGGGTATGCAGATTCAGTGCAATCTCCATTGAAATCCTCATTATCTTATTTCAGGAAACTGGCAAGCTGATTCTATAATTCATATGGAAATTCAAGGGACCCTATATAACTGGAACAATGTTAGCAAAGAAGAAAAAGGTAGAGGAGTAATGACTGTTTTGAAACTTGCTATGAAACTTTCATAATGAATACCATACGGTACAGGCAGACATACAGATCTAGGGAATAGAACTGGGAGTCCAGAAATAAATGTGCAAATTTATAGGTAATTGGTTTTTGATCCAATGGAGAAAGCAGAGTATTTTAACACATGGTACAGGGAAAATAGGACATCTACATCTACATACTACAAGGGAAACTGGACCCTTTCTCCACTCCACACATCAAAATGAACTCAAAATGATCACTAAACTAAATGTAAAATTAAAACCATAAAACTCTTACAAAAACATATGAGGAAAAAGACCTCCACGACACTGAGCTCAGCAGAGCCTTCTTAGGTATGTATCTTAGTCACTTTTCTCACTGCTGGGACATAACATCAAGACTCCAAAGAGGAGAGGTTTATTTTGACTGATGTTTGCGTATTCTCGGGTCTTGCATGGTCAGCTGGATCCAGGCGGGGCAGTGGGGCAGAGGCGGGATGGGAGGAGAGCTGCTCGCGAGTGGCAGCCCGGAAGCAGAGAGAGAAAGGAGGAGCCAGGGAGGGAGGTGCAGCCTTCTGGGTTGCGCCCCAGTGACCGCCTCTTTCTGCCAGACCTGGCCACAACAGCAAGGCAGCTGCAAGCCCCGTCATTCAGGGACCGTCTGAAGGCCACATCTATGTGTGCATGAGGCTGTGGGGGACATCTGGATAGAAACCATCGCAACATGACAACAGGAGGATGCATAAAAAGAGAAAAAAACAGATGAATGGGACCTGGCCACAATTTACAGGTTTTGTGCTTCATTAAATTTCATCAGGAAAGTAGAAAGCCAGTGCTAATGGAGATAGGGAAATGTAACCTACAAAGGAAAAATAACCAGTGTTATAAAGAGCAGAAGGTTCCAGTAGATAGTTCTCCAAAGAAAGTATACAGATGGCCAATAAGCACAAGAAGAGAGGCTCACATCATTGACTACGGGTCACTGCAAATCAAAGCCACACTAAGTGTCACTTCTTCCGGCTGGAAGAGCTGCAGTCACAAGGACAGGTTACAGCAGGAGGAGGGCAGCTGAGACCCTGGAGCCTCGTGAGCTTTTGGCTGGACTGGAGACCAGTGAGGCCCTTAGGAGGGCGGTCAGGCAGCTGCCTGAGAAGTGGCAGGGTGGACACACCTCGAGGCAGTGACACCCGATGAGGCTTTGGAGCTGGACCCCGCGTGGGCTGTAACAGTGCGCTCCACAGCTCTGTGTCTGGGCTGGGTGCACTGCAGGTGGCGTCCTGGGCCCTGCTGCTGGGTGCTTTCTAGATTTCCCAGCCTGCCTGGAGGCGCAGGGCCCCACTCTCCACCAGCATTGCCAAAGCTGGTGCCAGCCTGCCAGGCAACGGGCCACACCCGGGCACAGCTGCTCCCAGATGTGCACAGCACCTGGGCCCTCACAGGCAGGTGGCCAGCTGGGCCAAGCCAGGGCTTCGTCTCCATCAGCCGCTCTTCCACGTCCACCCCTTCTCCTTGGCTCAGTCTCGACACAAGCCACGCCCATGTTCTTCCTTTGCTGTGAGACCCCCATGGTGCCCGTATAAAAACTTGTATGAGGGGCTGGGGATTTAGCTCAGCAGCACAGCACCTGCCTGGCAAGCACAAGGTCATGGGTTTGACTCCTGGTACTGGAAGAAAAACAAAAAACAAAATTTGTATGGCGTGGCGTTTGGCTCAGCTAAACCTCTCTCAGCCAGAGACTCCTTAGCCAGGACTCTGAAAAGCAGGAGAGCAGGTTTCTCTACCATCGATCTCTGGTGGAAGGAAGCAAATTGTAATAACCAGAAGGACTGTGCTGGGGAGGAAGGCAGCGAGGCTCCTCTCCTGGCACTTTGCTCTTCTCAGCAGCTCTGCCCGCCTGGCCGAGACGCCCTCCAGAGTGACAGGACCGACGGGTCAGCAGCAGGGTGACCTGGGAGAACTGCAGGTGCTGATGTCACAGCGTGGAATGGCTGAGACGGAGCGGAGAAAGGCTCTGCGCGTGGCCTGGCTCCGGTCCCCGTAGGTTGGGTCCAACGGCCAGCAGCGGCCGGGGCATCCACACCTTTGACCATAATGGGGCTCGTGTGGCCTTTGGCATGCGGTTCCCCCTTTGCACCTGGCCTTCTCTATGGGTGACAGGAGACATGGCGACAGTCACGGGGCACACCTCCCCACCTCTGGTCTGCTCAGCGCTTGTGTCTACAGACCTGCTCTGGGTACCAGGGCCTGGGGCCACTTCCTCCAGTGATGCTGTACATGGACTTGCTGTCACTTCTCAGCTGCTTTCTGCACTGATCAGGGGGCACTGCTCCCTGACGCATTCATGGGGCATGGGGCACAGGGGCAGAAAGTGGCTGCATGCTGCTTCCAGGCTGAGGGAGGAGTGGCCCAGGGCTGATCTGGCCTGAACTGGGCCTCTCCAAGAACTGAGGTCCTGGGGACTCAGGGGTCCAGACAGTCTGAGCCACAGCAAAGCCAGGCTGGAGCAAGGGGAGCTGGGAGGACGTGTATTTCCTGTGAGGCTCTTTCTGCTGTTGGTCTGAAATGTAATCAGAACTACCCAGGTGTGGCAACACACACTTGGAGTCCCAGCACACAGCAAGGCTGAGGCAGGAGGAGCCCAGCCTGGGCAAGCCAGTTAGTAAGGCCCTGCCTCAAAATGAAAAAATCAGAGAAGGGCTGCAGAGGTAGTTCAGTGCGAATGTCCTGAGTTCAGCGTCAAGTACTGCAAAGACAACACACAGTGGTGTGAAGTCGGCCTTGTGTGGCCCTCCTGGTGTTCCGCCGCGAAGGGCGCCTGGCTGAATGGCCTTGCTGTGGACTGCAGTACTGCCTCTTGCCCGGGCTCTGGCTCCCTGCCTGCCGGGTGGCGCTCACGCCACATGCCACACCAAGAGCCAGTGCCCACACCCAGGGTCTCTGCACCCGACCGCACATGTGAAATGAGTGGCCAGTGGTGCCCAGCAAGTCACACTAGTTCCGCTCCAGTAATTCTGGGCTAAGTAGCACGAAGCACATCCAGTTAGTTCACTTCCAGCGTTTGTTTAGAAACCGTCGCTTCCTTTCACACTGTTCTTTCAGATGGTCTTGAACAGCTTCAACCATGTGGGGGACTGTGAGCTTCCAGGAGACACCTAGAGCTGGCGCTGTACCCCTGGGCAGCTCAAGGAGGGTGGTCCCCAAGGTCGGGCCCTACACTGACCTTCCAAACTCCCCCAGAGACTCCCAGCACGGGCAGGTGCTTTCTGCACAGGGCATGGGTGGGCAGCAGGGTGCAGCAAGGCTCCTGCCTTGGTGAGAGGCAGAGTCCATTGCACCGAAGGGACCTGAGCGTCCCCAGATCTGGTCTCCCTGGAGCTCTGGAGCCCGTTCCCACAGATTCTAAGGGACAGCCGTATGATGCCAGCCCCACAAATGATCTCAGAGGAGCCGGGAGGGCCCTGAGGGTGTGAGCTGCGTCCCTCCTCAGCCCAGGAGCACGCCCTGTGATGGCACCGTGAGGGGTCAGGCTTTTCTAGGACGGTGCCACCAGAAGCTCCCTCACAGCAGGTGACAAGAGCCAAACCGGAAACCAGCAGAGGCTCCACCAGGCGCCCCTTCTGCCACAGCATTCCCACCAGGCTGGAGGTCAGAGATGCCCACGGGACTGTGGGCTCTGAAAGCTGGCTTGGCTGCTGCAGCTTGACCCCAGGCAGGACATCCGCGACCCTGCGCCTCCCCTCTTCTCTTCTTTCCTTCCTCCTCTTCCTTTCCTGGCTTCCTCTTGAAAACCCCCTCCCAAATGTGTGGGGCAGGGCTGTAGCTGTCTAACAGTGAACTTAAGGTAGGTGGGTGGCGCTCACAGGACCCCGAGGCTGTGGGTTCACAGCCCTCAACCCACACCTGTGAGGCCTCATCTGCAGGTGTGTGGAGCTGAGTCTTAAGGAAGGCACCTGGCTGGCCACGAGGTAGGGCGGCAAGGAAGGGGACCCCGGTTTCTCCAGCATGCTTGACTCCAGCGTCCCCACTAGGAATAGCAGCGCTGACGACCCGCAGCTGTTTTCTCGGTGTCCTTTCTGCAGACGCAGCTGGGAGCCAGGCTGGGCACGCAGCAGCCAGGTCATTGCAAGGACCTTCAGGGAGCAGGCTGCGGTGGCCACTGCCACAGTTCCTCCTGGAGCCCCGCCAGGAAGTGGGATTGCACTAGAGGAAGCAAGGAGGGAGGGTGCGGGCTGGGGCAGGTGCTGGGGGACGCACAGGCTGTCCTAAGTGGCCATGGGCCCCTGTACCTGGGGCACCCGGAGCCTTGCAGCGCTGGCCTCTGGCCCAGGGCATCCCCCAAGCTGCGCTTCACCAGAGAGAGCACAGGCCTGCTCTCTATTTTGCATTCCTGCTGCCAGCCAGGCGTAGAAGATCTGAAATAAATATACCAAAGCATTAGAGGCTGGGGTTAGCGATGGCTCGGGTGGCAGTGCCGTTGCCTTTTCAGCGTTGCTTTTGTTCCCTTTCTGTTTAGAAATGTTAAAGCCTCAAAGTGAGCTGCAAAAACAGTACGAAGAGAGCTGAGCGTCTTCTCCAGCTACGCC